GCACTCGTGGGTGGGTGTGCTCAGTGGCAGAGGGGGTGGGGCCTGTGGGCGTCAGTGTGGCCCGTGGCGCTCCCGGGGCAGTTGCCCCTTCGGGCCCTCAGAGGTGCAGCAGAGATTCGAGGTGCAGACCTGGATCCTCTTGCAGCCTCCCGACTGCCAGGCCAGCGCCATAGCCCGAGGAGCACCTGCTCCTCCTACCTCCAGGAAGCCACCTGGGCTGGCTAGTGGCGTTTGGGGTGTCCCCCACCTGCTGGGCGTTGATCTCCGTTCTCATTCTCCTTACAGCTGCTTACCGCAATCTTGGGCAGAACCTGTGGGGGCCCCATAGGTATGGGTGCCTGGCAGGGGTCCGGGTGCGGACGGTGGTCTCGGGATCCTGTGCCGCACACAGCCTCCTCATCACCACGGAAGGGAAGCTGTGGAGCTGGGGTAAGTGCCATGCAGGCAGTCCCCACATGGGAGCTTGCTTCCGCTTGCCCAGAAGAGAGCGGGACGCCTTCTCCAGGCCGGGCACCCTCGTGGGCGGCCATGTCTCCTCGCTTCCTGGTTCCTGCCTGGTTATGTCGTGTTCTACGAATACAGCCTTTCCTCCCCTTGCTGGCATTTTTGTCCACACACAGCCCCCTAACTCCTTGGTCCCTCGTCCGCCTTCTCTCAAGTGTCCTGACTGAAGCTTGCTCCTCCTGACATGGAGGTGCCCTGGCCAACCCTACTCCAGGCAGGCTGTCCCTCCGCCAGGCAGTTTCTTTCTTGCTTCGCAGCACAGTGTGGCCTAAGGCCTCTGTCCTCGCCACTGGAAATGCCAGGCTTTTATACCTGCTGCTTCCTGACATGAGGCCCTGTGTCTCTGCAGCCCTGGTTGCCGTCCCTGAGGCTCTCAGGCCTGGGCTTGTGGCTCACTGCCTAGACTGTCCCCACATCATTCAGGGTCCTTCTTCAGAGCTGACTGCCTTCTCTTCTGCTTCCTCCCCGGGGCACTGGGCTGGGTGCCCCGTGGCGCCTGCTAGCGCCCCTCCAGGTCCATCGCATCCTCTGCCACCAGACTTCCTGCTCCTGCCTTGGCTCTTCCAGATCATTCCTGAGGCACTGGCTCTGACTCGTGTCACCCAGCCCCTTCTGCATCTCCTGGACTCCGCTCCAGCTGGGCACGTTGGCGTTCGTCCCCACCCTTTGTTCTTGTCCTCTGGCTAGCGTGTGGTCCGTGTGACTGCGTTTTTATTTCGGTCTGTTTGAGCCATTTTTTGTGATTTCATGAGCTGCTGTATCAGAGTCCAAATACATTAACATCTGTGGTCTTCCCTGCACTCAGCTAATTTTGTAAATTCTGTTGAAGAGAGCTCGCAAGTGTGTCTAGCCCACATGTATGCTTCATAGTCTCTTGCTGACTTGCTGACATTATTGCCACGATCTGGGTTTTTCCTGGTCGGCGGTGAGGTGTGTCCCTCCCCCCAGCACCCTCCTCCTTCGTGTTTCTGAGCACAGCCTTTTATGTCAGTGTTCCCAACTTAAAATATCTTATTTCTGATCTCTCCTGAGCTTCGCTTACGTGGTGGTTCTAAAAGCATCCTCTGTGCTGACCCCGTGGGCAGGGAGCGACGTGCATCCCACCACCTAGACGTGTGGCCAGGGGCAGATGGTGGTGCGGGGGACGTGCCAGGGTGTCACAAGTCCCCGGTTTGTCACTCTGGAAGGCAGAGGGGCGTTGTCTGGTGTCCGCAAGCGTGAGTGCCATGGGAGAGTGGTGGTCATGCTTGCATGGGGTCCTCATGCAGGCCTCGGGGGAACCGTGCTGGGCGCCTTGCTCTGTGGGTCACGTGCCTTTCACTGTGAACTTGTGTAGCTCCCTTGGAAGCTGGCGCTTGCCCCCTGCCAGCACGCCAGTACTGCCCCGGCCAGTCTTTCTTGAAATGAAGAGCCTGTCGGGGACGACCTCTTTTCGCAGCCGCCTGGTGTAGTGGAGGCTGCATGCTTGGCGTGACATAAAGGGGAAAGGGTGCAAGACCCCTGGGTTGCTTCAACTTTTGGCCTTGTCCAGTCTCCACAAGTCTCCCCAATGTGAGGCTGCACACACGGTTCTTTTCTCAGCGGGAGGAACTCGGGTGGGGTCCGTGGAGTCTTCTGGAACTTCTGTGAGGGCTGAGGCTCCTTGCCTCCTTGGGCCCACCCAGCTGCCATGTCTATTTGATGGCTGGCTCTGGGTCTCAAGGCCTGTATGTCAGAAGACTGGGGGCCAGGGCCTGCCTTCCACCAGGACTCTCAGAAGCGGCACTCTGGCCACGCCTGGAGCTGCCCGGAGGAGGTGGCCCTGCCAGTGGGGAGGGTGTGCGTAGGGCACATCTGCACTCTGTTACCAGGTTCACGAGCTGAGGGCCCTGTGAGGGGTGACCTTCAAGGGTGGGGTGACCCTGTTCTGTGAGCACTGTGGACAGGGCAGGGAGGGAAGAGGTGACAGGAAGAAGCCAGTGGCCACAGGAGATACCCAGAGCACTGAGGTGATAGAGCCCTCATGCCAGCTGCCAGATGGATCCTATTTTATTTTTTTCCCCTGAGTCGTAGTCTTACTCTGTTGCCCAGGTTGGAGTGTAGTGGCATGCTCACTGCCACTGCAGCCTCGACTTAGTAGGCTCAGATGATCCTTCCGCCTCAGCCTTCCAAGTAGTTGGAACTACAGGCACACGCTACCATGGTCAGCTAATTTTTTTTTTTTTTTTTGTAGAGATGAGATCTCGCCAAGTTGCCCAGGCTGGTTACGAACCCCTGAACTCAGGCGATCCTCTCACCTTGTTACTTCCAAAGTGCTGGGATTACAGGCTTGAGCCACCATGCCCAGCTGGGGTTCTGTCTTAAATGTGTCTCAGGGAAGGGACAGGTGGTAGTCTCCAGGCACTAGGAGTGGGTGCTGCGTGTCTCTGTGAGCGCCTGCCAGTGCGTGGCACAGGACTTGCCGTGTCCCTCCTGCTTCCCTTGGTAGCAGAGACCGAGGTGCACGGGGTCCTGCTGCTGCACAAGGGGAGGGGCTGGGAAAGGGAGCAGCAGGTGCCTGCCACTGGTGGTGGCCAGTCTCACCCGCTTCAGGGGCCGAGAAGCCAGAGTGTTGCTGGCCCTGGGTCTCGGCTGTCGGGCTTAAGGGCTCTTCCAGGAGGCAGATGGGGGTATCCTTAGAGAGTCTGTTTGTACCTGCCCCATGGGGCTGCTCCAGCCACCCTCTCTCCTTCCCACTGGTCCTTGTGTGATCTGCAGGTCGAAATGAGAAGGGGCAGCTGGGACATGGCGACACCAAGAGAGTGGAAGCCCCCAGGCTCATAGAGGGGCTCAGCCATGAAGTGATTGTGTCAGCAGCCTGTGGCCGGAACCACACCCTGGCCTTGACGGGTAAGGAGGCGACTGGGTCCTTCTCCGTTTGGCAGCGAAGCCACGTGATCCACCTTGGAGGTGGGATGGAGTCACCCATGCGACTGACTCTTGGGTCAGGATCAGAAAGCCCTGAGATCTCAGTGCTGGGTGGCCGGAGGGCGGAGCGAGCCTCCTGTGGTCATGGGAAACCCATCTGGGACATTGGCTGTCTCTCTGCATGCCCAGCTTCGGATGCGAAGTGGCTTTGCTCTGAAGTGTCTGGTGTCCACGCCACCATGTTGTCGACTCCCTCTGCTGCAGTCTGCCTGGCCAATGAGCCTTTTTTTGCTATTTTGATGCCTTTGATTCCAAGTCCGGTTCAAAACTTTTGGCATTATTTTCCCTTTTGTGACTTTTTTCTTCCCTTCCAGAAACAGGCTCCGTGTTTGCATTTGGGGAGAACAAGATGGGGCAGCTGGGCCTCGGCAACCAGACAGATGCCGTCCCCAGCCCTGCACAGGTGACTGCTCCCGCCTCCACGGGCTCTGGAGCTTTTTGTTTCTTCTGACTTCCGTGTTTGGTTTTCTGAGGCACGCCATGTATTTCTCACCATTGTTGGAATTAACTGACCCAAGCTGTATAGTCTTAGTTTGTGGTCAGATTGAATGACATCCTGAGAACATCTTTCCAAATGGAGAGATTTGTTAGAGAGGCCTTGTTTAAGCATGTTCTCTTCCAGAGTGAGAAATGTTATGTGAATGTAGTTGCATTTTCCTGCAGATTCATTATTTTGACCTTGTATGACGTCACCTGCCAGGTGCTTAGAACACAGTTGTTTCCTGTTCCTGAGAAATTTAGGATCCTGTTGAAAGGGTGGGATGTATAACTACAAGATGAACTACTAACATAAGGCACTAATAAGTGCCACCAATAAGTGTCTAATTAGTGGTGTAGGCAATGAAGGGAGGGAAGGACTCAGGTTTCTGCATCTTACAAAGGGACGGTGGCAAAGCTTTGAGCTCTCCTATGTATTGGGAAGGTGGGGGTTCTGAGGGTGTTTCTTTATATATATACAAAGCTTTGTGTTGTAGAAAGGCCCTCACCTGTCTGTCTTCAGAATTGTTGGGTTTATTACATTTCCTTTGTAACCTCATAATTGTTTCTCACCAACATGCAGAGAGGTAGAGACTTTGTCCGTCTTTTAAAAACGACTGACAGTCTCTGTCTTTTCTTTTCAGATAATGTACAACGGCCAGCCAATTACCAAGATGGCCTGTGGGGCGGAATTCAGCATGATAATGGACTGCAAAGGAAACCTCTATTCCTTTGGGTGCCCCGAGTATGGTCAGCTGGGTATGGAAGTGTATTTTTTAAAAGCTCTATAATCCAGCTGTATATTCAGAACCAGGAATTGGTGCGGGACTGCTCACATGTGTTAGAAAAATGTGGGTAATTGATCTCAGATAATAGCCTTTGTGCATTAAGTGGGTCTCACGTTTAGTGGAACAGCCTGTCATAATTCACGGGGTTACGGAGTATTACTGGACCTGCCTCCGTGGAAAAGTCAGGACTGGGGCCTCAAAAGAGCCCTCTTTCTGTTTGAGAATTCATTTATATAAAAGAATTTCAGCCGGGCTCGGTGGCTCAGCCTGTAATCCCGTGCCTTTGGGAGGCTGAGGTGAGTGGATTGCCTGAGCCCGTGGGTTCGAGACCTGCCTGGGCAGCAAGACCTTATCTTTACAATAAATCAAAAAATCAGCTGGGTGTGGTAGCGCACGCCTGTAGTTCCGGCTACTCGGAAGGCTGAGGCGGAAGGATCGCCGGAGCCCGGCAGGTCGAGGCTGCGGTGGCCAAGAGTGGCCACTGCACTCCAGTCTGGGCGACCGAGTGAGATTCCAACTCAAAAAAAAAAAAAGAATTTCAGAGTAGTTAAAAAAAAAAAAAATCAGACCACCTTCATTCCGTTTCGCATTTAAAGATTTGCCTTCCCTGACAGTGAGAAAATTACACAAGATTGAGGCTGTTCTGAAAACCCTGGCCCAGGCAGTTACTGAAGGGTCAGGCATGAGGACCCTGCTGTAGGTCAAAGTCGAAGGTTATCACAAGCAGGGATGTGCTTATGTCTCACTGACTGGAAAAGAAAGGCTCAGAAAGCAGTTCTCGGGAGAGGGGAGAGGGGGCGGCCCTCGCAGGGTCTCCATTTTCTGCTCCCATCTGACACTCCGGCGCTTTCTGTCCCCTGTCCCCGGCCCTTCCCCAGGCCCAGGAAGCGGCGTGCCGCGGGCGCCCTCTGCCGGCTGCGCGCCGCCCCTGCAGGCCCGGATGCCGGGTCTCGGCATTAGGAGCCGGCAGATGGGCCGGGTATAAATAGAGCGCGGGGCGATGTGGCGGCCCAGACTTAGGGAACAGTGACTTGGTGAAACTAAATATACCGCAAGTCAGAAGTGGAGAGGAGAACAAGCCCTTACGCACGCTCACACTCGCGTCGGTTGCCGCGGAGCCGACTGTCGGAGAGCCGTTTCCATGGCCACGGCCCAGCCTGGGCAGGCACCGGAAGCGCGCCCGCCGGAAGTGTGGGCAGACGCCGGAAGCGCGGGGCTTCCTGCCACGTGCGCAGCTCCCTGCGGCCTCGGCTTCCCCGGAGCTGCGGCGAGTCGGCTTCCTTCGGGAGGAGCGAGTTGGTGTTGATAACGACGGTGGCTGACGCTTTCGGAGCCGGGACTGCACCGCTCCCCGTGTCACCACTTGATACAAAACGCCGTCCGAAGGGAGGCTGGGAATCGGTTGGCTTGCGTCCTAGACGCGCTTCTGCTCGACCAGCCAGCTTGCTTGCAGGCGCGTGGCCTGAGCCCTTGCCTCATCCAGACCGCTCCCCTAGGACGGAACACAGATGTGACCTCGGGAGCGCGGCACCAGCCTGCTCGCTCCCGCTCCTTTGTGGCGCGCTGACGGGTCTGGCAAGGCAGAGATAAGACGTGCCGCTTCACTCTGTTTTTATAAGCCTTCCCCTCCAGAGGCCAGGGGAGCCCCCTCCGCCGCGTGTTCTGGAGGAACCGCCGCTCTGTAGTTTCTCAGCACGTGTTCTGTGCGGTTTCTTTAAGGAGCTGGAAGGAAGAAACAGTCCCAGGATGCCTCTCCTCTGGCTTCTGGGGTGTCTGCTTGGTTTAGTTTCCACCACTTTGGTGTCACGTAGAAGGAACTCAAGAAATCATTTGTTGCCCTCTCTACTGAAACCTTGTCCAGAAGAATGCAAATGTTTAAAAATACCTGGAAGAAAAGTCATAGCCTGGAAGAGGGAGGAATCCCTTAGTGGCAACCCCCAGACTTTTATTTTAAATGGCACATTTGCAGGGGAAAGAGAATATGTCACGTGTGGAGAACGAGTGTCATAATATGAACTGCTTATGAGGAGAATGTTAGGAAACAATGCCTGGTAACCCCAGCGATTTCATTGTGCTAATTTTATTTGTGATTCTTCTCAATAACCTTGGGAGATCAGTTCCAAGAACCACCCCCAACCCACACCAAAATCTGAGGATGTTTAAGTCCAAGTCCCTGATAGAAAATGGCACAGTGTTTGCATATAACCTTATCTATATTCTCCTATATACTTTAAGTGGGCTCCTGGTTACTTATGATACCTAATGTAATGTAATGCTATGGAAGTGGTTTTTCTATTTCCTTATTTGTTTCTTTTGTTGTTGTTATATTGTTATAATTTTGTTTTGTTTTATTTTGAGTCAGAGTCTTAACTCTTGCCCAGGCTGGAGTGCAGTGACTTGATTAAGACTTACCACAACCTTGACCTCCTGGGCTCAAGTGATCCTTCTGCCTCAGCCTCCTGAATAGCTGGAACTACGGGTGGATGCTATCATGCCTGGCTAGTTTTTTGGGGTTTTTTCCGAGTTGGAGTCTCACTCTGTTGCCCAGACTGGAGTGCAGTGCCCGCTCCCGGCCACCGCAGCCTGGACCTGCTGGGTTCCGGCGATCCTTCCGCCTCAGCCTTCCAAGTAGCTGGAACTACAGGTGTGCGCTACCATGCCCGCCTGGCTAGTTTTTAAAATTTTTGTAGAGGTGGGGTCTTGCCACGTTGCCAAGGCTAGTTCTGAACTCGTGGGCTCAAGTAGTCCTTCCACCTTGGCCCTCCAAAGTGCTAGGATTACAGGGATGAGCCACTGCAACCAGCCATTTATATTATTTTTACTGTAGGGTTTTCTTTTTTCCCAAATATTTCCAGCCCACAGTTGGTCGAATCTGTGGATGCTGAACTTGAGGACACAGAAGGCCAACTCTCTTTACATGGCACAACACACATTCTTCGGTAAAGGGGTGACATGCAGTGAGCTTGCCATGTGGGGAGAAGATTAGCTACAAGTTGGGGACTAGTTTACAAACTGCAGGTGACAAACTGATGATGAGAACGTCAGAATAGGAGCAGTTTAAAAGCAGCACTGCTGATGTGGTGTGGCTGCAGAAGCTGAGTGTTCTGGTGTGTTCTCAGGCCTGCACAGCAGCTGGGCTCCTGGTATGTGGTGTGCTGAGCTGGGTCCCTGTGAGCTTCCATCTGGTATCCGTTGGAGTGTGTGAATCGCAGACTTTAGCAACCTATAGCTATACACTTAGGTTATTGATGGTTCACGAAAACAAGTCTGGAGTCGTGTATTGAGCTTTTGTCTCCATGTTTGGCCCGTTTGGGGCTCTCTGAGGTCCCCCAAGTGGGGGACTTGGGGACTTGATAGGTGATTCCTTTGGGTCAGCAGTTTCCAGCTTTCTGGAAGAAATAGGGTTTGCACTGCGGCCCAATCTGAAAGTAGAATATTAAAACACAAAGGACGTGCACAGCATAAAGCTGTTACCATGTAGAGCATCCTTCAGTGGTTTATATTCTATTCATTTTTTAAAAATACTCTCAAATCTGTAAAGTCAGTTTCATGTCCCATCGCTAGGCTGTGTCTACACTTGGAGAATGCTGCTGTGTTGAGCAGAGTGTCCTGGTGAGGCCCCAGTGGCAGATTGGGGTGATGCTCGCCTGCTGCTGTCACTGGGGTTCTGTGCTGCTGCTGATGGCTGGCTCTGTGGTCACTGCAGGACACAACTCGGATGGGAAGTTTATTGCACGGGCGCAACGGATTGAGTACGACTGTGAGCTGGTGCCGCGGCGAGTGGCCATCTTCATCGAGAAGACAAAAGATGGGCAGATTCTGCCTGTGCCAAACGTGGTTGTCCGAGATGTGGCCTGCGGCGCTAACCACACGGTGAGGCTGGAGCTTTTCTTCCGACTTTTGAGAGTCTGGCTAGGGCAGGGGGTGTGTTTATGCTTGAGTGTCTCAACATTTGGCCTTGGTCAGGCACTGTCCCGGGTGGACATCTTGGTTTTCTGCTTTCTTCAGAGGACTTTGTCCTGGTCAGGTGGCCACGGAGTATAGTCCCCATCACTGCCTTCTTCGTTGGAAACTTTTTCCATGACTTTTACAGATGTTTCCGAATATACAATGTTCAACCACTCCCTCGTACAGGAAGCACTTTCTACTATTGGCTTTTGTCTGACAAGGCGTCACCATGGCCATCTTTCCAGCCCATAGACTCCCCTCTTGGGGCTGTGATTAGTTTTACGTCATGAGGGTTGTTTCCTTAAGAGTCATTTGATCAGCTGCAATATCATGTTGTGCTCACGTATGTTTGTGTCTCAGCTGCCCTTTTGCAGTCACTTTGCCTCAGAATGCCGGGGAGTCCAGCCTGGTTCTCTGCCCTGTTGAAAGCGCCCTGGCTAGGATCCAGAGACCAGGTTGGTCCTCCTGGTTGAGTGATCTCAGGTCCCCCCCGCCCCCCGTTCCCCTGGAATCTTCCCAACAACAGTACATGGTGAATTGGACTAGGATCAGAATAGGAGGTTTTTTTTTTTTTTGAGTCAGAGTCTCACTCGGTGGCACAGGCTGGAGTGCAGTGGCACACTCAGGGCCACTGGAGCCTCGACCTGCTCGGCTCAGGTGATCCTTCTGCCTCAGCCTTCCAAGTTACTGCAGCTAAAGGCGTGCGCTACTATACCCAGCTTATTTTTATTTTTTTTTATTTTTTATTCTTTTTGAGTTGGATTCTCACTATCGCCCAGACTGGAGTGCAGTGGCCGCTCCCGGCCACCGCAGCTTTGACCTGCTGGGCTCCGGCGATCCTTCCGCCTCAGCCTTCTGAGTAGCCGGAATTACAGGCATGCGCTACCACGCCCAGCTGATTTTTTGATTTATTGTAGAGACGAGGTCTCGCTGCTCAGGCGGGTCTTGAACCCGCGGGCTCAGGCAATCCACTCACCTCAGCCTCCCAAAGGCGCGGGATTACAGGCTGAGTCACTGAGCCTGGCTTTTTTTTTATTTTTTGAGTTGGAGTCTCACTCTCGTCCAGACCGGAGTGCAGTGGCCGCTCCCAGCCGCCGCAGCCTCGACCTGCTGCGCTCCGGCGATCCTTCCACCTCAGCCTTCCAAGTAGCTGGAACTACAGGTACGCACTATCACACCCAGCTAATTTTTGATTTATTTTTTATTTTTATTTATTTATTTTTTTTGAGTTGGAGTCTTACTCTGTCGCCCAGACTGGAGTGCAGTGTCCGCTCCCGGCCACCGCAGCCTCAACCTACTGGGCTCCGGCGATCCTTCTACCTCAGCCTTCCAAGTAGCCGGAATTACAGGCATGCGC